ACTGACATGCTTTGTCAACTGTAAAGTGCTGTACACTCACTTCCAAGTGCCAAGGCCCCCTTCCTCTCCCCTTCCTCTAAACCTCCTCCCACATGAAGCCACTTTGTGACCAGATGGGATCACACCTCCTCAGAACACTCCTGGCACCCTGGCTGGGCCTCCTGATGCCCTCTGCTGAGTGTGACAGCAGTTACTTCAAGCCCCAGCGCTCCCCACCCCGCCACCTTGGGGTAGGAATCAGTCTGATTCCCCAGCACCCAGCGCAGGCCCGCAGGCACGGGAGCCACTCAGGAGATGTTGGTTCAAATTTTCTGAATTAAATTGACCTCAGAGCCACAGCAGGTCACAATTTTCTAAGAGAGGGGAGGGGGTGTCCCCCAGCTGGATTCCAGTTGGCTCCTTACCATCTTGCTTCTTTCTTGACTGTGTGTCCCATACCTGCTCCCATCCCCTACCTTCCCACCTGGTTCCCACACTCCCCTTTCCGGCCTCCACCAGGCTCCTTTCTGGTAGAACCTGGTTTCTCCAGCCTCCCCTTCCTGCCTGAAATCCCACCTCTCGGTATGACCCACAAGGGGAAAGGACAAGGACTGTGGCAGACCAGGACCAAATGTAGGCCCCTGCTCTTACTACTCTTTGGGCAAGTAGTTCCCCTCCCTAAGCCTCAGTTTCCCTATCTGTAAAGTGGAGAATGGGTAGTTGAGATTCACAATTAAACTCTAAGTTACCTTTCCGCTAAGCGAAATCTTGTTACTTCTTTCCTTTTTTAAATTTGTTCTATTAATGCTTATTAAGCACTTTCTACTAGAGACAGTGTAAGGAAGACACAGTACCTGCCCTTAGGAACTCTAGAAGAGGAGAGAGAAAAATGAACAGAAGTACCTGCTCTGGAACTTAGAGGAGGCTCCTTAGCTAGTCCTGAAGCCCCTCCTGAGGGGCTGAGGCCCGGGGAGGCATAAACAGCCTGGAGTCTCCAGGTGCGGGCTGGCTGGGAGGTTTCCAGGTTAACTAGTGAAGCTCAAGTTTCAGGACATCTTCCAAGATCCTGTATCAGTTTTTATTCATAATTTTGTATTATTTTTCTTACAGAGGCCTCCAAATTGTATAAGATTCAGGCTCACCTAAATGTACCCCAGCAGCCTGTCGGAAAGCCTGGCCTGCCTTCCTGGGGATTCTCTGCCAGGTTTTCCATCATCCTCACCTTCCCTGCTTCAGCTCCTGCAGTTGCCTGCTCCCTCAGCCTAGTCACCAGCAGCGCAGGGCTTCTACTCCCCGCCTAGGTGGGGCTCTGAGCTCCCTAAGGGTGGAGGTTCTTTCCACTGCCCCCTGAAGGTGCATGGCAGGTCTCAGTGTGCTCTCCTGCCTGCGGCCTCCCTGGACTGGGAGGCAGGCTGGGCATGGGTTGGCCTGGCTGCCAAGGGTGGATAAAACCTGGTGGTGGGCCTGAGCCAGGGCTTCTTTTGGACAGAGAGAATGCTGCCACCCTACCCCACCAGACACACGCACAGCGTGTCCCTGTGTTGGTGGAAAGGCTGGAACACAATTGCAGGCAAAACCTTTCATATTCCAGTGGCTGGGATGAAAGGGAAACCATTAAACAATTTGGACCTATAAAGTGTAGCTTAAATGCATTGGGGGTGGTGAGGAGTTTATACTCTGCTAAGAGCTTCTGTGTCAATTATAAATTCTTCCAATTTCCAGCCTGACCTCCTGGGATCGGCCTGGCTGGCTGGGGGAGGTCCAAGGCCCCAGCAACATGACTGACCCTGCCAGGTCCAGGGGTTCTGGGTAGGGTTCAAGTCCTGGGCCGTTCCAAGGCAGCATCACTGCCTCCAGTAGCTGCCAGCCATCATCCAGACTTACAAGTGTGGAGCTGGAGCAGACTGGCTCAGTATGGTCTGGTGGGCCTCCCTGCACCAGGGGCTGGCCAAGGAGCCTCCCCGGAACACTGAAGCCAGAGGCAAAGTCACAGCCCTGGGGGCCATGAAAGGCAAGTCGCTGTGCTTTCAGCTAATTACACAGGGCAGAAATGCACAGAAGCTGTCCACCCACTCTTCAAAACCCAGCATGGTCCTTGCTTACTTGCTTCCTTCCTTCCTAAATAATTGAATAATTCACTCAAGAAGGCATTAGGACCCCCTACCCTTCCCCAGTACTTGTTGAAGGCAGCAGGGAGTTTGGGGTGGAGCAAGGAGATGGCCAAGCAAAGAGGCGGCCGTTGGGGTCAGGAGACTGGCAACGTTTAGAGGGATTGAACAATAAGTAAATATACTGAGGATGGTGGGAGCCAGATTTCTTGCTGTTGGGGAAGGACATTGCAAATACGGAAAGGGGAGAAGCTAGACTGAATCCTGTGTTGGTGGATTGGAAATAGAGCTATCTGTGTGACTTAATGGTTTTCTATGCTATGACGTAGATGAAACTTGAGGACATTATTCTAAATGAAATAAGGCTGTCACGAAAGGAGAAGTACTTTATGATTCCAGTTTGTGAGGTACCTAGAGTAGTCAAATTCATAGAGATGGCAAGTAGATGGTGGTTGCTGCGGGCTGGGAAGACCCAGGAGTGGGGAATTACTGTTTAATGGGTACAGGGTTTTAGTTACACATGATGAAAGAGTTATGGAGATGGATGGTGGAGATGGTTACACAGCATTATGGATGCATTTAATACCACTGAACTGTATGCTTAAAAATGATTAATATAGTAAATTTTATGTAAAATATTTTACCACGATAAAAAAATTGGAGAAAAATCAATCAAGTTTTAACAGAACAGGCGTACAGCTTACTGTATAAAAATTGTACCTCTTACTTTTAAAAAATGAAGAAATGTGAGGGTAATGAGCTGAAACATGGTGAGAATGTATGGTATGGAGGGAAAATAGGGGAGGGCGTGGGAAGAGGCTGGGAGAGGGGCAGGCTGATTTGAGGCCCTTGTAGAGAGTATGGATTTTTTTCCTTGTAAGGACTTTGGAGTTTTTCCCCAAGAGAAAGAGAAGCCATCAAAAGGTCTAATAAGGAAGTGACATGATTACATTGCATTTTAAAGATCTTTCTGGCTGCAGAGGGTTCAGCAGATTTGAGGGACAGGAGTGGAGGCAGGAAGACCAATCATGAGGCGGGGGATGTCAGCGGCTTGGCCCAGGCAGAGGGCAGGTTTGCAGAATCATTGGGGTTGGTGGTGACTTGTAAGTAGAGCAAGGGAGAGACAGGAGTCCCAGAGATGCACAGGCCTTTGCCTTAGGTGACTGTGTAGGTTGCAATTCATCTTTTAGGACTGGGGATAGTGGAGGCAGGGAGGTTTAAGGTGCAAAGAAGGAGGATGTGAGTTCAGTCATGATGTGCTAAGTTGGAGGCACTCGTGGAATATCCAGGAGGCAGTGGGAAATAAAAGTTTGGAGAACACAAAGGAAATGTCTTGAATGCCTATACGAGGGGCGGGCACACAAATGAGGAAAGTGGTCGTGGGTAGAGAGTGGCAGAGACCATGGCAAAATAGGGAGTCTGTGTCTTTTGTGAAGGAGGCAGCTGCTAACCAAAGCTCATTTAGAATAAAGATCCAGCAGTGCAGGCCTTCCAAGTGTTCAAGAAAAAGTGAAATCTGGATTTTGAATATGAAATTTGCAGATTAAAAGATTTTTTTCTAATTGAAGAATACATACAGAAAAGTGCACGCGTTCTAAGTGTACAGCTTGAAAAATTATCACAAAGTGAACTCACTCATAGAAATCTGCTGGTTTTCAAATGTTAAGCAACTAATTAAAGCTCTTTAAAAACACTGCAGGTCAAACAGGAACATGTCTGCATGAAGCTGGGGCCACCATTTTGGAAAATGAGATGGAGGTTTGCAAAGGAACTTGTAGCTGGTCTGTAGGGCAGGGTGGAAGAGACTGGAAAGAGAAAGTGGACAGTGAGAGGAGAGAGAGCTGGTGGGGTTCTGGGAAACGCCAGACCCCCATTTAAAGGAGCAGGGAGGAGAGGAATGTCCAGGGGTCTTGGGTTCCAGTGAAGTGACCAGTTGTAGCTTGAAGATCTATGACTGGGCCATCCAGGGAGGCTTCAGAGAGGAGGTGGCCTCACATGTAGAGAGAGAAGGTCTAATGGGTCACGGTCACTTAGGACCCTCTAGGCACTGGGGCAGAGTATGAATGCTGCTTGAGGGAAACAGGTTAGAGAAATTAATGGTGCTCTGATTTCATTTTCTCTCTTGATGAAAAATAGATGACTTTTACACTGTTGCAGAGCAAACAGAAGCTCGGTATGGACCCAGTTGCATAGGCAATGCTGTGAAGTTTTCCCAGCTCTTTCAGGTACCATCCCTCCATTCATGGCTCATGGTGGGTTCCACACCCAGCTCCTTCCCCAAAGTCACTCACCATCTTGAAGACAGACAAGAAAACAACATTGTGACCAGGAAGGAGTGGGGCAGGGTGGTGCTGCTGAAGCCACAAGGACAGCGCTGATCTCAGGCTGAGGCTTTATGAGGAGTTGAGGGCCAGGTGTCTGCAGGGGAAGAAGGGGTAAGGGTTGGGGCATACCAGGAAGAGGGGACAGCACAAGCAAAGGCCGAGCAGTGAGAAACAGCGTGGTTGTGTGGGAAATCCCAAGAGTATAGCAAAGGTCGCATGTGAGGCTCGGAGTAAAGGAAACTAAGGCGGGGGCACTGCTGTGGGATTGCAGGGTGGAGACTATCTCCCCACGCCCCCTTTCAGAAGGGCCACCTAACTTTCCCGGCATCTTAGACCTTTTCCTTTCCTTTGCTCAAGTCAGTCTTTGCACCTGGAATCCCCTTCCCCACCGTCATCATCTCCCTCCTTGAGGACCTGGCCCAGGCCACTTGCCTGCCTGACTCTGTCCTATGGGTGGGGGGCCTGTATCCTTCCGAGCACCTTGCCCACCCCCTCACTGCAGGGCTCATCGCCGCTCACCCCAAGCCTCGGCTGCTAAGGTAGAGTGTCCATCTTTCTCTGGGGCCATAGCACATCCAGACCGAGTTTCACATACCCCAGTGTTCCCAGCACAGTGCTAGGCCCAGACAGACACTTAGTGAGTGCTCATTAAATAAACTGCTAGTGAATCCAACCCTTTGTGTGACATGACATCCACTGTCTGTGACTTGGAGATAGTGTTGAAACTATTGTTTCACAAACTTGGCAGCTGGAGGAATTATTTGGCAGCATTTTTTAAAAGCACAAAACACTACAGTATGTGCTCCCTTAAGGGGAGGACTCCAGAGGCATCAAGAAAATCATGTCTCATTTGAACACGATTTCCCTTTTCCTGTTGACATCTTCCGTTGTACTTCGAGAAGACTGCAACCCTGTACCTTTGGGCAGGAACACCCAGTTGGGGAGGTAGCCAGGGCAGCTCCATGGGGAAGGACACTTGGAGGCAGCTCAAGGACCAAGTGGGCACTGGGCCCAAGCAACCCTTCCCGTCTCACCAGACGCCTGGAGCTGCCTCACACACACCTACCTGGGGCTTCATAACAGGCTCAGGCTTTGTGGTCAGACTCATTATGCAGAAAATTTCGCCTGCCGGAGCCTCGGGTTCTTCATCTGTGAGATGGGGCTAGTCCCATAGGATTGTTACAAACAGTAAGTGAGAGGTTGCATGTAGAGTACGTCACGTACCGCCTGGCACCGTAGATGGTTAACAAATGTTCCCTCTCAGCCCCACCCCTACACCCACCCTCACAGACACACAAACCCGGTCTGACGCCGGCCCCTGGAGTCAGAGCCTGCTCAGGACTTGGGCTGAGCCGCTGATCCCGTCAGAGTTTGAACTGGTATCCGGAATTTTTATTTTAGCAGGGCCTCTGGGAGCTGGAAAGTCTTTGGGTCCCTAAGGAAGGGAGTTCAATGGCGGAAGGGAGCCGGGGAGACTGTGGGCCAGGGATCGTCCACAGGTGAGCATCCGTGTCATCTCTGATTATATCGCCCCATCCCAGCCCCTCTCAGAACACCAGGGGCCCCCCAGCCATTACCCATGGGGTCAAATCCCACCTCATCAGCCAGGCTCCCAAGGCCCTTGGTGATCTATCCTGTCTGCCTTCTTCGTTCATCCCATGAACTTGCCCAGGTCCCCAGCTCCGTGTCTGCGCTCAGGCTGTGACCTGGTCCTGGAACACCTGCCCTCACACTCAGCTTATTCCTATTACCCATAAACCTCCTAGTTGGGGACCATCTGCGCCTCTCCTGGAACACACCTTATAGTTGTCTGTGTCGGTGTTTCAGCTTCTCCACAGGCCCTGGGCATCTGGAGCCGTCAAGAGGACACTCACGGTGGAGCCCTGCCCGGGGCCTGCACGGCTCCACGGCTCAGCGCCTCCTTAGAATGGGGCTGGGCTTGTACTTGCTCAGATCAGAACAGCACAGGTGCGCTGGGGGATGGGAAGACAGGAATGCGCTCCTCCCGTGGTTCTGAGGGGATTCAGGAGTCCCACCTGGGGACGCTGTGCCTTTTTCATTGGCACACAGGCACGTGGCAGGTGTTTGCATGTCTCTTTGGCCATTCTAAGCACACAAAGATAGTCTGACTATCTCTCATCTGCTAAAACACTCAGATGACCTCCTCCAGCACTGCACAAAAGAGCACTGGAACAGCAGCTTACAAAGTGCCCCAGAGATGCTGCAGGCAGGGCCACATGCACTTCCCTCTAGGAACCAGCCTCAGATGACAGGATCCCAGGCAATGGAGCATGCCAAATGCAAGTGGGTACTCTCCTGGGTCCATCCATTGCTCCTTCTGGTCCAGGCCCTGCCTCAGCGATAGATTAGAGAGATGGAGGTGATCAGGAAAACCTTCTGGTGGAGGAGTCCATAAGATGCTGTTGAAGGAAGAAAAAGCTGCAGGACAGAAACAGGGATAAGGCGGGCCTGTGGGTGAGTGTGTCCCTATCTGATGCCCATGGAGTAGGAGCCAGACTCCACCAGAGTATGTGTCTGCTGCAAAAGCAGGACAATGGCCACTATGCCTATTGTACAGATGAGAAAACTGAGGCTTAGGTCAAGATCACACAACTCAGCCAGTCAGGGTTGGCAGAGCCAGGTCTTCTGATTCCAAGGCCAGAGACTTTGCATTATACCAGGTTGCTTCTTCCAGGGGGGTGCAGTTTGGTGGTGATACTGGGGAAAAAAATGCTATTGGTCTGGCATTGATGAGTGTGTTATTGTGATTTATCATAAGAAATATGTATTTGGTGTTTGTCCTGGTCCTGGCACAGAGTTCTCCAACCCTTGGAATTTCCTAAGTGAGGAGAGTAATAAAGATGTCTTTTGTTCTGTTATTGAAGTGACTTTTGGAAAGCCTCTAGGTTGGGGCTCGTCACCAGAGGAATTAACCATGTGTAATTGAAGGGTTGGAACTTTTGCTTCCACTCCCCACCCCCATCAACCCTTCCTAACTCCTCCCTCCCACCTCCAGGGAAGGGAGGGAAGCTACAGATTGAGTTCAATCACCAATGACTAAGGATTTAATCAGTTGTGCCTTTGTCATGAAATCTCCCTAAAAACCCAAAAGGGCTGGGTTTGGAGAGCTTCTGCGTTGGGGAACGTGTGGAGATGTGGGGAGAGTGGAGCTCAGAAAACAAGGAAGATCTGCGCCCTTCCCCCATACCTTACCCTACCCATCTCTTCCATCTGGCTGTTTCTGAGTTATGTCTTTTTATAATAAACCAGTAATCTAGTAAGTAAATGCTTTTTGAGTTCTGTGAACCACTCTAGCAAATTAATTGAACCCAAGGAGAGGGTTTTGGAACCTCCTCGAGTAGAGAGCTGGTAGGTCAGAAGCACTGAACTTGTGATCGGTGCCTGCAGTGGGTGGTGGCGAGCAATGTTGTAGGACTGAGCCCTTACCTAACCTGTGGGGATCTGATGCTATCTCCAGATGGACAGAGTCAAAACTGAATTGTGGGACACCCAGCTGATGTCACAGAATTGCTTGATGTGGGGGAAAAAAACCCCATATGTTAGAACTGGGAGAAGAATTGAAATGAGCAACTGGAACTCCTATACGTGGCTGGGAGGAATGTAAATGGGCACAGTAACACTTTGCAAAAGTGTTTAACAGCATCTGCTGAAGCTGAACATATGCGTACCTGATAACCCAGCAGCTCCCCCCTGCGTACCAGACACAGTCTAGGTCCTAGAACGGGCACAGTGGCACTAGCCAGAAAGCAACAAAGCTGGAAATTCCCAAATGCCCATCAGCAACATTATGGATAAAACTATCGTCATATATTTATACAATGGAATTCTAAATAGCAATATGCATGAACAAACTACTACACACACCCAGGTGGATACATGTCACAAACATAAAGAACCCACTTACGCAGCATTCAAACCAAGCAAAACGCATCAAGAGGATCCCCCTGAAACCAGTCCCCAGAAGTCCCTAACTTCTAACCCCGTTTTCTGTGTGTCTTATTCTTCAGCAAACATGCAGACTTTAAAAAAATGAAGACACTCTCCATAAACTGATATAGAGTGATTCAGGATTTGTTGGTAAGTGAAAAAAAAATCAAAGTACAAAAATGTACCTATAGCATGTAACTTTTTGTGGAAGAAAGAAAAGGAAATAGGAAAACTTATGTGATTGATTTTGCAAAAAGAAACACAGGAAGGACACGCTAATGAGATCAGTCACCCCCAGAGGCTGGGTAGGAAGGGGGTGGCAGGGGCGGGAGGATTGCTCTCAGTGTACATTTTTTGAACAGAATTGACTTTTGGAGCCATGTTAAAGCTTTACATATTCATATAATAATAATAACAATAATACTAAAAGATGGGGAAAATCCCTAAAATGGAATACACGCAGAAACAAGCAAACCTAACTGTATTTCTGGTGAATAACACAACCACACTGAGAGTGAAAGCATGCTCTAAGGAAGTCTTAACACAGTATTTTGATTATATACACCCAGATGAAGGATGAAAAGGGGCTGCAAAAACATCAAATTTGAGTTAGCAGGTTTGCTTTTCTCCATGGTATGAGTTAGCAATTCTGATACGCTTTTCTTTGTGACCTAGGCTTAAGCAAATGAGTAAATATAATGAAAGTCATGGATCCAGGTTTCTCCCTGTTGGAGAAGTGAGTTACAAGTGTGGTAACAGGGAGGACCAGAATGTACCTCCAGGTATTGGACAGGAATTGGAGGGAACAGTATGAGCATATGAACTTATAAATAGATGTCAATATAGATCTGGTTATGTATATTCTGCCTCCCAGAACTTTTTCTGCTAAAATAAAAAAGGGTTCCTACGCAAATGACTGATTCCAAGCCAAGGACATGATGAGTCTGAAAGGAGAAACTGCTAAAAAGAACAATGGGGAAATGTCAAAAAGACACACGGGTCAGCTCGAAGGAACTCCCACCAGCCAAATCTGGGACAATTTACGTATCAAATAATGATAGGAATTATGACCCACTAAATAAAATAAGAATCCGTGAGTTCATAAAAATACAATATAATAAATATAAATAAATACATGGGGGAAAGAAAAAGCTTTCCCTTATGATAGAATTTGAACTAATAAATAAAGAGGAAATTATGGGCTTAGAAAATCACACTTGGCCACCATCAAAGTAATAACTGATTCAGGCAAGAATCCATCAATGGGTCCTAAAATTAGTGGGTAAAAAGCTTAATAAAAAGGATATTTATATAGTTTTCAGATGACTCCCCTGAATAATTTTTAAATAGAAGTGGAAATGCAGTAACTTTACAGCAGTAGATCCTACCTTAAGCAGTAACCCAAGTTAATTTCACTAGAAGTAGAACAGACAGACATCAGATACCTCCTGGGATGTGAGAACACAATGTCACTGCTGTGATAATCCTGCCAAAAACCAGCAACCTGAATCTCATCATGAGGAAACACCAGACAAACATAAACTGAAGAATACTCATTAAAATAACCAGCCTGTACTCTTCAAAAATGTCAAGCTCATGAAAGACAAAGAAAGGCTGAGAAATTATTCCAAATTAAATGAGACGAAAAAGATATGACAACTAAATGCCAGGACCAAATCCTGAACCAGAAAAAGAAGTTTGATAAAGGAGATTATTGGGACAATTCGCAAAATTTGAATAAGATAGTCTATGGATTAGATAATATTTTATCAATGTTACTATTCCAATTTGATAACAGAGGCGAGAAAATATCCTTGCTCTTGGGAAGCATACACTGAAATATTTGGGGATAATATTCATAGCAGGCTTATTCATAATAACCAAAGACTAGGAATAACCCCAATGTCCATCAACAATGGGTAAACTGTGGTCCATCAATACAATGAAATACTACTCAGTTATAAAAAGGAATGAGCTGCTGACATGTGCAACTACGTGGATGAATCTCAAAACAATTAAGCAGGCTACTCCCAAATGGCTCAAGAAAAAACTCATAGTGTATATAATTATACATATATATATATATATATATATATATATATATATATATATACACACACACAGAGAGAGAGAGAGAGAATGGTAAGGAAAATGTAGCAAAATGTTCATTGTTGGTGAATTTGGGTGAAGGAGAAATGGGAGTTCTTTGGGCTGGTCTTACAACTTTTCTGCAAGTTTACAGTTACTTCAAAATAAAGGTTTAACTAACTGACTAATAAATGCTATTTGCCATGCTTATATTATATTTACATGTTTGTTTACTGAGGTAAAATTTACCTACAGCCTTAAGTGTACAATTCTATAGGTTGTGACAACTGTCCAGGTACACATGCCACAACCCAAATCGAGGTGCAGAGCACCTCTCATGCCTCCTTCCAGTCGTCCCCTGCTCCTACTCTGAGAGAACCACTCTTCTGATTTCTGTCATCAAGGTTAGTTTCACCTTCTGGATTTCACATAGAATCATGTGGTATGTCCTCATTTGTGCCTGGCTGCTCTCACTCAACATACTGATTTTGAGATTCATCCACATGGTTACTTGCATCAGCAGCTCATTCCTTTTTATGGCTGAGTAGCAGTTCATTGTATGGACGTACCACAGGTTGCCAATGGTGGATGGACCCTGGGGCTTTTTCTCTGGGTTGTTATGAGTAAGCCTGCTATGGATGTTCTTGCACATGTTGTTGTGTAGTCCCATGTCTTCATGGCACCACCCAGCTCCCTCTGGCAAGTCCAACTCTGCCCTTGACCTCACTCACATACATGAGTAGAAACATAACCTTGGTTTTTTCAGAATACCAGAAAAGATTCCTGATCCAAATTATCTCTTCTGAGAATGCCTAAAGTTCCACCTTTAGCTGTTTCTTCTTTTGAAGCTACCCTAGCTCTGGCTGGTCTGAAATTTTGTTGGAAGAGAGTTGACCAAATACTTTTCTTCTGGCTGGGAGGGCCTTTGGATAGGGCTAAGGAAAGTGGGTGAAGGGGAGACAGAGAAATGTCTGCACGTCACCATTTTCTGGGCAGTGTATACTTTCAGGCTATTCCTTACTCGGGCTGTGTCCTCCTTAGCTGTTCCTATCAGACACCCCATCCCTAGGCTAAACCATCAGGTCAATTGAGGAACTTGGCATCCCAGACCTGTCCAACCCCAGACAGTCAGCAGCTCTTCTGGAAGGAGGGAAGGAGGCCCATGAGGAGTCTTCGTGTTCCTGAACCCACAAGGGTCCCTGAGATCTGGGTGTTGGGGGCGGGGGTGGGCGGAGCGGGGAGCGAGGGGCGTGTGTGCTGGCAAACAAGCCTGCAGCCGCCGGCAGGGGTGGATCTGCTGGTCCTCGCGGGAGCAAGCCTCTCTCTAGATCAGTGGAATAAGCCAATTTGTGCCCCCACCACCTTCCTCCCAGGAAGGATTCAGAAGGCTTTGTGTAAGGGGATTAAGGCTTTAGCCTGCTCAGCAGGGGAAAGGGCTCTCGGCTCCAAGTTCTGTGGCTGTGTGGCCATGCTTGCACGTGCCCACGTGGCCATGGGGGCCACTGCAGGCCCTGACTCAAGGGCAGCAGGGGCTGCAGCTGGAAACAGGAGCTGCTGCTGACAGCCTCCCCAGGGAGGGGGCTCCGCGCCGCGTGCCTGCGTCCTCTGAAGGTCCCAAGAGCAGCCCTTCAGGAATGTGGTGGGGGGTGGCGGAGGTGGGCAGGAAGAGACGCCCCGGAAAGATCTGAGCCCAGGAAGGAGTGCCAGTGGGGTCCAGCAGAGTTCCTTCTCCGTGTCTGCCGGGCCTGGGCTGGGTGCTGACACAGATGCCTTTTGTACAGCTTTAGACCTAAACTTGGAGTTGGAAAGCCAGAGTCTGCACCTCAGTCTTCACTCACCAGCTCTATGAAATGGTGAGTCTGGTTTTCCTGTGGTCAAGTGGGAATGAGCGTCCTCCATGACAGGATGGCCCAGGAGGGAGGGTGCTGTCCACCTGAGGGACCCTTGCTGGGTCTGTGCTACTCTGAAGACTGTGGTATGTCCCATGGAGGCCCGGGGACAACCAGGGCAGCTCGGATGGCATGGGGATGTCGGAGGCGGGGACAGGACTGAGGGCTCTGCTTCTGTTTAGGAGGAGAGCTGCCTCCGCATCCTCTGCTCACCCCACAAATCCTGCAGGCTCCCTGCCCCCCTTTGCTTCCTCTACACTTGACAGAGGCCCCAAGCCAGGGGGCTGGCCAGGCCCTGGGAGAAAAGCTGGGGGGAGTGGGCAGAGAGGGTGAGGACAGACCAGCCTGCAGTGTTCTCCCCGCCCGCCAGCCTGGCCTGCACTTGCCAGGACCTGCCTGAGTCTTTCAAGGCCTTGGACTTGGAACCTTGGTGCCCGACTCCGTCTATGGGACTGGCCTGGGAAAGCCTCAGTCTCCTCGTCTATGGAACAGCATGTGGAGAGGGAGGCCGAGACTTGGTGCCCACACAGGGCCCTCCTGATAGAGTCCTTCAGGCAGCCCCCTCTCTTCTCTTCTTAGCTGACCACCCTGGCCATGTTCTAGGATCAAACTCTAAGCAGGTGGTAGGGACTTCAGAAAGCAGCTGATGTGCTGTGCCCATTGTTCAGAAGGGGACAGTGAAGCCCAAGGGGGATGAGGCTTACCCTGTCTCCTGATGCTCAGCCTGCTCTCCCTGTCCCCTGGCACTTAGCAGGAAGCAGAGCATTTTCCTGGTCCAAGCAGGGAGGTAGGGAGGCAGCTGGCTCCTCCCTTGTGGCCCCAGGCCAACCCAGAGGAGCTCAGCAGGAATCTTCTCTGGTCATAGCTGCCTTCCACCAGACTGCCTCAGGCTGGGCCCAGGGCCTCGAGGTCCTGGGGACATTGCTTTCTGTTTATTTTCTGCCTGGCTTCTGCACACATTGTGGTTTCCACTTGGAAGGGCTGCACTGGGAACTGTGGGGCCTGCTCTGGGGGCTGAGCTGTATCTGTGGGAAAGTTTGGGTTCTGCTGATGGTTCACAGACTTGGCCAAGACCCTAATCCCTAAATTCCCATGCCGTGGGCCGTGGGCTCAGCTCCTCCAGCCAGCGCCTCTAGCTGTGCTGGTTTAGAGTTAGTGGCTGGCCAGAGGGATCTTCTAGTCCAGACTCCTCACCGCCTATTTCACAGATGGGGAAACTGAGGGCAGAGGGGGCAGGAACTTGCCCAAGTCCCTCCTAGCCCATGGCAGAACTGGGACTGGAACAGGGCTGCCTGCTTCCCAGCTCAGGGAGCTGTCCATGGGGCCTGAAATCCCCTCGTGCCTCTGGGCTTTGCTGGAGTAGGGTGGACACCCAGGGATGCCTGAAGCCCTGAGTTTCCCATGACTTCTGTCTGGAAGGGGCCAGCCCTCCTTCCCCACTGTGCCCTGGCCACAGCCCAGGCTCTGGGCAGAAGGGAAGTCGGGAGGGGGCCGCCCCTGCTCTTGTCTCTGGGGTCCCTGGGAACCCGACCCACTGATGAAAGGGCTGCACTCAGGCCTGGGAACCAGCCCTTGGATTTGAATTCTACTCCCCTCTCCCCTGCCCACTGGCTGAGCATCTCTAGACAAATCGTCCCAGCAGCCTGTGCCTCGGTTTCCTTGTGCGTAAAGGGGACTTGTCACAATCCCCCCTTACAGAGGTTAACGGGAGTAGAGGTACTGCGTGAGCTGTAAAAGCTCGGAGCACATTGGGGAACGGAGGCCATCGGCCACAGACCTGCTCAAAGCAGCAGCCGGGAAGAGGCCAAGGCCCCGCCTTGCCTAGGCAGGCCTGCTGTGGGGCCGGAGGGAGGCGGTGAAGGTGCTAAGCCAGCTCTAGAGAATGCCTGCCCTCTCTAGGGAGTGCCGAGGCTGCGGGTAGGGAGCAGGCTAGCCTGGTGGGTGGCCCCACTTTGCAAGGGCCGCAGGATTCCCGCCACCAGGCTAGCCGGGTGCTCTCTGTTGGGGGAGCTGATAATTGAGCCGTCTCTCAGGGAGCCGACCCTGATTTTTATTCATCAGCAGGACAAAGGAAGCAGAGCTGTCCTGCTGAGGAGACTGTGAGAAGGAGATGAGACGAAGGGGGAAGTCGTTTATCTTCCCAGCCTCTCCTGCTTGGGGGATTTTTCTGGCGTGTGACGGAGGAAGAGGAAGCCAACACGAGAGCCTTGGAGGAGGAGGGCTCTGTAGCTCCTGTCCCTAGTACCGCTCTGCCCCTGTCCCCCAGCCACCTGCCTCTAATCTATTTAACGCCTCTTCATTGCTGTTTTTGCGGGTTTTTTTAATAACTTTTCTCAGCTCAGGTCCCCGGGGCCTTCTTGGTGAATGAAAAGCTCTCAGGGTCTCAGTCGCAGTAGCCCCTGGTGCTGGCTGGGCTGTTCCCCTGGAGGGGACACAGCTTCAAGGTCAGGCTGACGCCAGCTGACCTTGAAAGCTTCCCGTGCCTCCCCTGACGTGCCTCCACGCTCCAAGCTCAGTGAGCTCCATCACATTAAAAAGCTGTTAAAAGCATCCATCTGGTTCACTGCCTCTGAGACTCTTCGATCGATGGCCGGGAGGGCAGCCTCAGTTCCAGGATGAGCCTCTGCAAGGGTCTGCCCTGGGGACCCCAGCCTGTCGGGCCGCCGGGCAACTTCCCATCCATCCACTCTCACTCAAGGGAGGGCAGTGGGAGGAAGACAAAATAGTCAGGATGGGGAGGATGTACACTGTACATTATGTGTGTGTGAAAGGCGCCCCCTGGAGTTGTGCGGTGATCAGGGTTAATGGTTACCCTTCGCCAGACATTAGCCTAAGTGCTTCAACCAGATGAATTCACTTACACTTCACAACCACCAGTGAAGTAGAGCTGTTATTAACCCCATTTTGAAGCTGAAAAAATGAGGCACAGGGAGGTCAAGTAACTTACTCAAGGCCACACAGCTGCTTAGTGTGTGGAATGAGGATGTAGGAATTCTGGCTCCAGAGCTCGCTGTAGCATCTGGTGCTGGCTGGGCTGCCCCCAGGAAGGGGACAGGCTATACTTTCCCGTACGTCCTCACAGCAATCCTGAGAAAGACGTGTAATCATGCTTGTATTACAAATAAAAGAACTGGGGCTTCGGAACATTAAGGCACTTCTCCAGGGGCACACAGCTAGTAAGCAGTTGAAGAGGCACTCAGCCCCGGAACTCACTGGCTTCGAACTTGCCTACAGGGGGTTTTGGCGTCCCCCTTCCCACTCTGCACATGGTGTATCGCCTGGGCTGCAGGTAGCAGCCTCCTCTGGGCTGTGGCTGTCCCCACTCATGGCACAGAAAGCTTCTCCTGTCTGGATTACTAAGGAAGCCTGAGCTGGGCCTCAGAACTCTGGGGCTTTGGTCTTGAGTTGCCGTGTGGCCACAGACAAGCCCTGTCCCTCGCTGGGCCTGGTAGCAGCAAAGCCCTCAGAGCCTTGCAGCCAGCCCCTCCTGTGCTGAGGAGGGCTCCATGGGAGCCACTGCCCTTACTCTGCCACCTAGCTGGCCTGGCCTCTCTGCAGACATGTCATAAGCAGAGCTGGGGGGAAGGGAAGGGATGGGAGGAGCCTCCCGTGGAGATGACAGGTCGTGCCCACACTCCATTTTGCTGCTGCCACATGTGGCTCTGATGAGCCCACAGCTCCATCATTTGTGAGATCTTCAGATTAACCCGTGAAGGCCTACCTTTCAATGACAATTTTAATGCCAAGGCCCGCATAACCTGTCCCTGTCTCCCCATCACCTTTCCCACCTCATCACCTCCCACTCTTCCCTCCCCTCACTCTGCTCCAGCCACACTGGCCTCTCTTCTGTCCTCAAGAACACCAGACCCACTGCCACCTCAGGGCCTTTGCACTGATGACCACTCCACTGCCCCGCCCCTCCCCTCGGTCCTCGTGGTTGACTCACTTCTTCAGCCACTTCAAGTCTGCTCTTGCTTTTCACCTTCTCACCAAGGCCTGCCCTGACCGCTTGACTTCACACTGCCTCCTCCTGGCTGGCCCCACCCCCCTAGGCTGTGCTGTTGCATTGCACGCATTCATCGCTTTCTGGGACTTTGTCATTGACTCATTTATATTGTTTTCCTCCTTCTCCTTTATTAGAATATAAGCTCTAGGAAGGCAGGGAATTTTGTTTGCTTTCTTCAACATCGAATCCCTCCCCAGCACCTAGAACAGGGCCTAAACACAGTGTAGGTACTCAATAAACACCTGTGGAATGAATGAGTGGGGGAATGGATGGATTTCAGAACATCTCAAAGCAGAGTAACCATAACGTTTGTTTAGGGACCAGGGAGTAAAGTCTTGGAACATCCAGGTTGGAGCCTCACCTCTGCCCTATCTGCCGTGTGACCTTCAGCAGGTGCCTTAACTCAGGGAGCCCTGGTCACCCACAGAGATGGCTTCTAGGATGGACTTGGCAACTGGCACACCCACAGGACCGCCCTGCTGCTCTCTGCCCCATGAGGTACCCCCACATCCAGGCTGTGTGACCTCGAGGCTTGACAGATCACCTGACCTCTCTGAGGCTCACTTTCTCCACCTCTAAAATGGAGAGTGATGAGGACAGCCCCGTGAGCAGGCGGCACTGAGCCTAGGACTTGGTGAGCGCTCTGCAAAGTTTCGCTCTATTTGCGTGTTGCTGGATCATTGGGACAGAAGGTCCTTCACCACTCAGTGTCAAGCCATCAGGCTGCCCTTGGCGCTCCCCAGAGAAGCAGACAGGAGCCACCAGAGCAGAGCACGGCGGAGCTGGCAGGGGCCTTGGAGGTCAGTGGGGTGGCTGCTGACCCCAGAGAGGGACAGGAGCTTGTCTAAGGCTGTGCACACTCACACTCGGCCCTTCGCTGAGCACCTGCTCTAGGTTCCATCTCCCGGTTCTCTGGGTGCCCCTGGGGGAGGCCTGCCAGGCAGCCCTCACAGTCCTGTCCAAGGCCTGCCAAGGGTCGGGACACACGAGCTTTCAGGTGTGGTGCACCCTCTTCCCGCAGCTTCTTCCCATCAGGTGAGGGTGGGTGTGCGGGTAGGCGGCAGGCCCTTGGTAGAGAACTAAGCTCCTGGTTCTGAACAGTCTTAGGATCTGGAAGCCCTCTGATGAAAGCTATGACCTTTTCCTCAAAGAGAAGCACATATCCACATTCAGAGGCTGAAGCCACTGATCTCTAGGACCCAGTAAATGAGTTAGTCGTCATCCGGTGGTGCTGCCCCTGGGGCTGGGGCTGGGGCTGGGGCTGGGCTGGTCTTGAGTCCTGTGACTTGATTCCAAATGTCCCTGCTGTCCAGCTGCATTATCAGGTTTTTAGCACCAGCATCCATGGTGGTCACTGCCACGATATTGGCTACAGGTCCATTTTCAGCAGCCAGGCCCTGGAGGGCAGCACACAGCATCCTGGACATGCACCATCAGGATCGGATGGGGGAGATGGTGAGAGCCGTCCCCAGCCCTCTGTCAGGACCGTCCTGGGGCTCAGGCACATGGGGCCACTGAGAAAGACCCAGGGTGGCCTGGTTGAGGTGACAAGACAGGTAGGGGGAAGCAGAAAGAGTGCAGTTTAAGAGTGCATTCTCTAGCTCTAGTCCTTACAGCAGCCCTGAAAGGAAGTCAGAGAAAGGATTATTCACCCATTTCACAGATGAAGAAATTGAGACTCAGAGCAGCCACAGAGCACACAGATCAAGGAAGTGAAAACCAGGATTTGAATCTGCTCAGACTGCCTCCAGAGTCCATGTCTTATCCCAGTGTATAGAATATTCTCATCTATTTAACTCGACATTGAGCAGCTACTACCTACAGAATCCTGTGTCAGACAACTTGGGAGGACACAGATCCATGGCGAGCATAGAGCCCACTGGACACATCCAGGGCAATAATAATAATTACACACACCACGGAATGATAAGAGCTAACATTTTGGGAGCACTTACCTGGGACCAGCATTATGCTAAATGATTTTCATGGATTATCTCAGTTTTGCTCTCAAATACCTTGAGGTAAGAGCAGCAGTATGCCCAGTATTCTTGTTTGCTTTTGGGATCCAGAACTGTGTGTCCATTTTGACAACAGAGGCTAAGCAAGGTTAGGTGGCTTGCCATCAACTAAGGTGGTACCTTGCCAAGGCTCTGTCCCTCACTACCTGGGCATTTTCTGGGCCTGCGTCAACCTGGGCAGGTGTCACCTACCTAGCCCTGGCTCCAACTGGCTGAGGCAGGGTGAGTAGACAGGTTGTGGGTAGGTTTCACTTCTGGATTGTTCTAGAAGAATTGTATTCCCCCTCTGAGCCTCATTTCCCCACCTATGGATCCTCTGACCTCTAATGCCCTTGAGTCTGTGATCTGAGCCATTCTCTCATTCCAGATGCTTGAGGCTGAGCGAAAAGTTAGGGTCTCTGTGAGAGCAAAGAGCGACTGGATAGAGGAAAGAAGGGCTGCCAAGGTTGAGGGGGACGGAACGAGGGAAATATGCAGGCGGGAGCAGCCTTCCAAAGGTGAGGAGGCCCTGTGCCCGCAGGGTCATGGGGGAGAAGGGTCAGACTTCCGCCCAGCCCCCCCCAACAAGCCCCAGGCAGCCTTATCCCCCTCCCTACCCAGATCTACCTAAGCAGCAAGGAGAACAATGGTCGGAGAGGAGGAGCCAGTGTTCAGTCACACCACCCACTTCCCGGGCCTCAGTTTCCCCTTTGTGAGGAGCGGGGGTTGGCCCTTCAGTCCCTTGGAGGATACTCATCCCAGGCAGGCTCTGAGTCAGGAGAGATGAGGGTGGTCCCTCCCTTCCCCCGCAGCCCACCCACTCCCACTTTTTCACAGCCCTCAGCGTGCTGTGCAGTTATTAGTTTAGGTTCATTTAGAATCAGCTTAGCAACCCCACACCCGTGGAACCTGGAAGCTTAAAGCGCAAGATGTCTGGCAAATGGAAACTCAATTGCTTTAATATAGAGACTATTTTGCTGCAGTGGAACTGGAGCCTCTTATTAAGAATCTGATGGAATTTCTAAACAGGGAGAGAGGCCCCAAGGAGGGGCATCGCCCATCACACACCAACATTGCTCTTGACATATTTATGGCTCCAATAAAGTCTCCCATCTGGTATATTTTAAAATAAAATTGAAAATTTATCACTTCCCCTGAGTCGGTTTGTCGTCTCCCCAGGAGGAGATAGCCAGCCTGAGATTACAGGCTGCGGCAGCAGGGTGGCTGGCGGGCGGGCAGAGAGGTGACCGGGCTCTGATTTAAATTTCAATACCTTCCCCATTACAGCTCCCTGGGCTGGGAAAATTACTAGGGGGAAGCAGGCTGCGTGCTTCTCCTGTTTCTCTGGACACCGGCTCGGCTCTCCCCACGTGAGCTCACAAGCTTGGTTTGTTCCATCCCCTGGTTTGCAAGGTCTGGATGAACCACAGTACCAGAGACATGGGAAAGCGCAGTCCTCTGGGATGCTGGTTCTCTAGGCCTGGGAATCAGCATTATCCTTATCCATCTGGAGCTGTCAGATGGTTCAAGAGGGCCCCTCTGTT